CGCCGAGCACGGTGCGTTTGAACGAACAGCGGCTCCAGGCTGAGAGCCGAGCGATCTCCCCGAGAGACCGGCCGGGGCTCGGGTTTTCTCACCCTCACCAGCCCCGCGGGGTAACCCGACTGCAGCCACGGTGTTTGCATCGTGTCTGCCCTGGCTGCGATGCTCTGACGGAATTTACTGGTGCATCTCAGCCGGAAAGGTCCGCATCGCAACCCCAGACTATGGAAAAATAAAAAATTAATTAGGAGAAAAAAATCAAAGTRGTAAGACATGCTGCACAGGAAGCTTGTGCTGTCTCTGTCCATGGAGATACATCCTCAGCCCCCACTCGAGCTGCAGTGAACAGGACACTTTGGGGTGGTTCCCTCCAGCCTCCACTCTTGTGGTTCCGCATGGATTCTATGATTCAATAGGTAAATAAACCAATAGCTAACACAATATAAGAATGGACAGACAACCTGAAACAATCCCTCTCGTTTTTCTTCCTAAAAAGTTTTATATTTACTAATGTGTCTTAACTACTACTATTCCAATTCTTATAAAAGGTATCAGATCCCTTTAATGTATTCATGTTTAAGCACTACTGGTTATCAAACKTACTCTAGAAGCTGTGCTTAGGCAGATGGAGGACAAGGAGATGATTTGTGACAGCCAGTACTGAATGTCATGGCTGCTGCCAATRTTGTCCTAAAGTTGCAGTTCCCTGAAAAGCAGATTTGGACATCCAACATCCTCTGAAAGTCCTCAAGCCCCTAATTACCTTCTTTTGAGAAGTACAACTTTTTCCACCCTTTAATCAGCCTTAATCTTGTAACCTTTCTCTTGGCTTTCCTCTCTCCGGAGTTTCCAGAATAAGAATAAACATTGATATCAAATTTATATAAAACTTGGTCCTATTAGGTTTTCTATTATAATCTACCTATTAGTTTACCTCAATCTAAGTTGCCTACATTCAGTATTACAGTTATGACTTATCAACCCCTATCTTACAGTCCTTCCAAAGCTTCTGATTCAAAACAATACTGATTTCCACACAGTAAATAGGATTTACTTGTCTGAGTATGTATGAAAGACAAGTTACTAGAAACTTTAATGGGGTGGTGGGTCTTTTCCTTACAGCCAAACTTAAGTAAATAGATAATTGTATGCATACATACAAAAGCCTAAATGGCAATCAGTGCACTCCTGACCCCTAGATGAGCTTTAATGTGCCATATTGGATGAGAGAAAAAATAAAAATCCTCCCTATCTACTGGCTAGCCAGTTCCATCCTCCTACCACAACCATGTGACTAAACATGTAAAACCTCAGACTTTGCCTCAGGAAAGATTTTTATAATGCATGAGAACTATGAAGTAACAAGCTTCTGCAGCTCTAATGAYTTTGTATAGCAATTAAATACAAAAACATTTCAGTGACTTCTAGCTTAAGCCCTACTATTCAGTGGTACCAAAGTACCATATAGAAAGTTGACAGAGATTAACACACCAAAYCTGTTTGCTTTTCCTGTATACTTGCATAGAAAATAAACCCATGTTGATTACTGATAACTACTCTCCAATTCAAGTGCACRTTAGCCATCCCATTAATCTCATAATTGACTGGAAAAAATGAAGTCAAATACTTGACACCCGGAAGATACGGAGAAGCTTGTCATCTTCTAGTTCCATTTCAGATGAAATGGTCAATTACTACCTTTGGGACAACACTGAAGAGGAACTAACAATAATAATAAGAACCAGTATGCCTCAAAAATCTACTTAATGGAAACCAGAAGCCAGAAAATAAGAGCTTGAACATGAAGAAATAGAACAATAAAAATTAATTGTTCAAATTGCCTTGTGACSTGGCTTTTTACTTGTTTATGCTACCCTGCAAAATAATATGATAAAAGAAAGCTGCTGGTGCCGTACCTGATGACACTATGAGACACCCAGGTCAGTGCTACAAGCCCATCTGTGGAGCAGTTATTGCCAGTACCAGAATGACAGTGGACCAATGGACATCTGTGTTAGGTGACCTCCCACAAATCAACCAACCCCTAAGACTGCCCCAGCCCCAGCTATTTTGGGCTGCAATATGTATCTCAGTACAAAAAAAATAATTTATTTCACTAAGAAGAAAATACAGAACACTTTGATTTAATATAACTTCTTCCAAAGCCTGCCTTTACAGTGAATCCATTAGCACACAAGACAGCTAAAAACACTGACCACAGACCTTCCAACAGATGGAGAAAAAATAAATACTCAGTATCATCAACTGAATATTGTCTCAATCATAAAACAAATGCAATAGAAGAAAATGTGGCTTTTCCTTCTCAGAAGTTGGTTTATATTTAGTGGTTCAGGCCAGAAAGAAGTACAGCTCAAAGTTCAACTCCAAAACAATTACAGCAGTTCAAGCTGTTGCTGTCATGTCAGGCCTTCTCCTCCCAGTGCAACAGTCTCTAGTCCCAGGACATCAGCACTTTGGTTTACAAGCTCCTTCTCTTGCTAGTTTATCAGCTTCTTCATTTCCTTGGAAGCCAGCATGACCAGGAATATGCATCTATCRGGTCAAAACACAGGAGGGTTAGATATGGAAGAAACGATATACATGAATTTTAATCAAGAGACACCTTTTCATTCGAAGTACTGCAGCACCTCCTGAGAGGCCCTCACCACACATTTAGCCCTTRGCTGTTCTTTCTAGGGATTTTCATAGTCTCCTTTCCTCTAGGAAAAGCCTTGCCAAACTGTGAAAATCATCTTTATGGGAACTAGTGAACTGCATAAGGACCATCYAATCTAGCCTATAAGAAATGTAGGTAACAGCTCCAATTCAAAATTCCCACTTTTGGAGAAGAGAGAAAAACCTCCCCATATTCAGTGCTTAAACTGAGTTCATCTCTCCCAAAAAGCCYATGACCTCCAGTCTACCTAAAGCTTTGGTGGTTACAGCACTTGCTTAGGATACACAAATARGATATTAAAAGAATCTCTCAATTTTTAGATGTCTTAATTGCCCATCCATCAATCAGGAACTGGAAAAAACCTTTCAACTCTAAGCCCATCCTTGTCAGAACAAAGAGTGGAGGAGGTAGGTGATGAAGAAAATCAAACTTGATACTTGACAAGGCAATTGCAGGTATTTTCTAAGTAGTAATAAGACACAGAAAACAAATACAAATATTCATTTAAATAAATGAAATACTGGTTCCAAGAACCACAGTTATGTTACTCATTTGCTTTAAACACAACAAGCAGCTTCTCTGCATTTATAGTTTTACAATTCTTAGTTGTGGTCAAACTTTTTAAGTTTTTAAACAGAAACATGCTTAAGATGTCATTCAGAATAAGAAACAAGGAACTTACCCACTGAATTTCTATGTCTTTTGCCAGATTATCAAGTCTTTCAAAATCTTCTTTATTTATTACACTTCCTCCTGAACTTGTTCTCCAGCCATTTGTTTTCCAGTTGTCAACCCAGCTTGTAATACCTGTGCAAAGGGAGTATCACTGTAASAGCACTATTCAAGAAGCCAGCAAAGGTCAAAACAGAGCCATTTAACAAGACATTAACTCTGTACAAAGTCTCAGGCAAAGACACTGGAGACAAAAGATAATTCTTGTTTCATTCTCTGCTGCTGTCTTTCAGGATTGTATTTTTTCATTATTATCTGAATTACCCAATCATGTTTTCACTTTTCCCAAACAGGTATATAATTTAAAGACTACAATCTTATATACACATTATATAGAAACTATCTCATGAAATTCAGTAAACTGAAGCAAAGGATTTGCTTCATGGTACAGCAAGCTAAGTTTACTGCTGGCCAGAAAAATTTCTAAATTACTCCTTAAGTATTGATTTTTTTTCCCTACTGGTATGGACAACATAAGATAGCCTTACTACTTTCATGACCTGAACCAAATAGGAAATCACCAACCTTGCACACAAAACCTCCTAAAAACCAAACTACATCCATTTGTACTTAACTACAAGCCTCCTTCTCTGGCATTTTTAAATAGTAACTCCTAGACACATCTACAAAATAACTATGGTTAAAGAAGAATAGAACYTGCATCTCAGTGACCTGAAATGCAAAATGAAACTGCAAGTAAAACCAAAGAGACTAAGACAAAAACAAAGASTAAAAGAGCAACATTTAATTTTCAACTGCAAGTTGCACTAAGTTTTTGTTTAATGTTATTTAAAAAAAAAACTCACAAAATGAAATCCCCAAAGTGATCTGGAAACAACAGGAACATTGCCTTTGTAAAACTGAGAAAAAAAAAATCTTAAGCAGTTCCAGATTATCACAGGAACAAAATCTGAAGATCTTGAAGAAAGAGGAAGAAGTTTGTTTTTTTTTTTTCAGAAATTAAGTCTTATAAATACCGTATGAAGCAGCCAATAAAACTAAAATTAAGTTTTCCAAGTTTTTGAATGAAGRTGAAACTTTTAATAGTGAAACTTTTAAATACATACTCTGAGCACATATCTCTAGCTAGTCTTCCAGAGTAGCCTAAAAGCTTGGGAGCAAGACAACTTGAATGTACTTCGCATGTGTGTGTTAACACAGCCTCTAATTCAAGC